GGAGGATTGGCAGATGTTAGCTCAGGGCCGACCCTCCTCACAAAAAAAAAATAATAATAATAAAAATAAATAAATAAATAACTGAAATAGATTTTATTGAGAAAATTTGATATGTTTCAACATTATTGTTGTAAGCTTATTACAGTTTTATTAGAAAATAAAATAAGAAATTATTGCTCTCCACCATGACAGCACATTTCCTTAGATCTAGAATACAATTTAACTGGTTGTATTTTAACATCCAATATTTTGTCAATGAACTTAGAAAGCAAGTGGTTATGCTCTAAGAATATTACAAATCTATCAAACTTTTTTTTTAACTTTGAAAGTATAGTTAAGCAGAGGCAAAAAAAAGTAACAAAACAAAAAAGGAAAACAAAAGAGAAAATCAAAGTTAAACACAGAAAAAGCAGGAAAGAAAAATGGTGGAGGGGACAGAGAGAGAGGGGAAAAAAGAGAGTGAGAAAGAAAGCAGAGAAAGAGAGAAATAGATAGACAGAGACAGGGAGAAAGAAAGAGAGAGAGAGAAAAAAAGAGAGAGAAAGAGAGAAAGAGACACATTCAGATACCCTGCAGAGGAAAAGAGAACTGGAAAAGAAACTTCACATTTAGGCAGGAAAATGCAGAGTGGTATGTGGCTCTGCAAGTGACAGAGTCGTTCAAAGCCCGTGCAATGCAAAATTAGAGACATCCTAAGATGCTAGAAGCCCCAGATATTTATAAATGTGGATGATAAGACAATAAGTCAAAATTCATAAAATATACTAATTTTGAAAAGTTTTAATTATAAAGACGTTGGGATGAAACAGACCATAATTTAGGAGTGCAACAGAAAAAAGACTGAAATTCCTGAGCCTTCTCTGTGTTCTACTTTCAATTGTTTCCTCCCCTCATCAGACTAATGTTTCCCCCTTGGCTGTGCAGAGATGGGCCCAGAGTGATCTTCCCTGGGACTGAGCCCTTTTTTTGTCATCTTATCTTTAAATACATGGCAAGATGTCTTTCAGTTTCTAGCCATCTCTCTCAATCTCTTTGTTTTATCTATTTTTGGTCTCTCTTTATTGGTTGGGAGACACACTGTGTATTATACAGCACTTGGTATATTATTATATTACAGTAATTGGTGAACCGTTTTTGTATTGCTGCCATAACAAATTACCACCAAGTAATTTTGGAGAATGGAGATGAATGGTGACAAGGTGGATCATTCCAAGAAGGCTTCTATCCAGATGGATATTGAGCCTCTGATCCACTGTGCCAGAAGAAAATTGGTGTTATCACATTCTTTATTCTCAGGAGAAAAGCATTCACCAGGAAAATGAGATGTGGATACATAGGAAGCAAATGCAGGTAGCATAAACCAGAGGAAAAGCTTTCCTGGCCAGGATGGGATGTGCATTAATGGAAAACTGTCATAGCATTTCTGATATAGGAGTAGTTCATTGGCTTCGGTTGTAACAACAAAATTATGGCACCCGTAAATACAATATGCAGAAAACTACTCAAATGAAACTACATTACAGAGAAGATTATTGAGTTACACATAAGCAAAAGAGGAAGTCCAGTGTAGGAAACATGACCCAGTAGTGTGCCACACCCGTGGCTGAGAGTATATAAATATCACAGTCCAGGAGTGACATTCAAACTTAGCATCTTTTCACTGTAACTCAGCTGAACTCACAACTCCGGTCAACATGTCCTACAGCTGCTGCTCTGGAAACTTCTTCTCCTGCTCCCTTGGGGGCTACCTGCACTACCCAGGCTCCTCCTGTGGCTCTTTTTACCCCAGCAACCTGGTCTACCATACTGACCTCTGGTCTCCCAGCCCCTGCCAGAGGTCCTGCTACCGTCCAAGGACCTCCATACGCTGCATTTCCTGTTGGCCAACTTATGCTGCGTCTCTGGGCTCTGGGTCCAGCAGCTGCTGCTCCCTGAGCTATGGATCTAGAAGCTGCTACTCACTGGGCTGTGGATCCCGTGGCTTCAGACCCCTGCGTTATGGAGTCTGTGGCTTCCCTTGCCTGAGCTATGGATCCAGATTCTGCCGTCCAATCTACTTTGCCTCCAGGAGCTGCCAATCATCATGTTACAGGCCAGCCTGTAGATCCATTTTCTATCAATCAACTTGTTGAGGGTCCAGATCATTTTGAGTATTGAGGTCAAAGTCTCTACTCAGTACAGCCATTGTTTTCATTCTCACCTGTTACTACTATTCTTTTATTCTTAAATTATCAGTTTCTTGCATTACCAACTTTTGGCAGACTCTGAAATTAATGGGTAACCCCAAATTAAGTCCTAATATCTGTACTATTGATAGTATATATGCTATTGGATTTTCATCTAAGAGCAATTGAAAATGCAAATTTTACTCTAATAAATTTATGTAATCTGGCACCCACATATATTGTTCAACTTATTATTATTATTTGCCTATCACATTTTTTGAATTCAAAGACTTTGGAGATTTAAATAAAGATCAATATGACTCTGAAACTGGATTTGGGCATATACAATTTGATAAAGTGAAGCAAATTTCTGTTGACATTGGCTATATTCCTTATAGGAAGTAGTCATTTCCTGGAGGTTCTTATTTTGCATGTCTCTGTGTCAGTAAAACTGGCCTGAGAATGGGGGACATGCATTTCTACTGACAAAGGAAAACAACAAATTGGTACATAAACTAGAAATGCAGAACAACAACACTAGTATCTGAGTGTGGATTTTCAGCTAAGAGAAAAGATGAGGCTTAAACAACTCCCCGGACAGATACTTTACTCTTTGTTGGTTGGCATAGTGCCATGAGCCCTGCCTGCCATATGTGAGGTATACCCGAGCCTCACCTATAAACATATGTAAGGAGATTCACAATGATCTTAGGTGGGGAGTCACTGGGTTAAGGAAGTGTGGGAAACCTCCCGATGCTTCTCCAAGGCTCAATCTGAATCAAGCAAAGAGCAACACACCTGAACAATGTTGAACAACAGTTTAAATTCATTAGTCTTAGCCTGGATCCCCCTCTCTCACAAAGCAGAGCTGAGGTCAAGAACTTGGGTGCAGACAGTTTATTTGGCTCAAGATCGCAGGAAGCAGCTTTGGGAGATCATGGAAGGTGAAACAATCAAAGATGAAAATCTCATAACAGGGCATATTTTTTAGTTGATTTTACGGTGGGCAATGGGGACTCAATCCTTCAGGGCCTTTGTAGGAACGATTAAAATGACTCTTGGAATTGTCCACCCCAGGATCTGATGAACAGGGAGAAGCATTTATCCATTTCTTTTGTCTCCCAGTGGTTGAATATCATCCCAGACGTGTATTGACTTCCTGAAACTTCACTAACTGTGCAAACGAAGATGCGTGGTGTGCTCCTTTTGTTTTCCTGGTTGTGTCCTCGGAGGGTGAAAGAAGCGTTGTATATGCTTCATGAGAGATATCTGTGCAAAGAGGGTTGAAGCCTGTGTGAAATTATTCACCATAGTTGTGCCTGGGATTATAGGTGAGAGATTCAGGATATAAAAAAGGGCACAAGGGTATCAGATACACCACTTTCATTTAATGCTCAAACATCCCTGTGAGAAAGACAAACATATCCTATAGACCTCTCCAGACACGAGGGAATGAAAACTCAAAAGAGGATTAGAAGCTTGTCAAAGTTTATAAATCAAAGATCTAGGAGACTCTGACCTCTTGAATCAATCTTTTGTTGTTTTTTCCTGATTTTTTTCCTTTTTTTAATATGCAATTCCTTGTTTTACCAGAGTTCCTGAGTACTCTGGTATTACAGAAATTGCTTTATCTGAATAGGATTTAGCTCCTTTTGGATCTAGTTTCATCAGCCTCATATCTATAACAAAGAGCAAAATGAAAACTAATTTAGAGTTTAGGAGAAGAACATTAAAGAAGGATGAGCTAATTTCTTTTGAAAGTATTTGCATTAGCTATAATACCTGATAATACACTGAGAGAGAAATATTTGATTACCTCTCAGGCAGACATTGCTAGAAATCCTGAGTGCTATGATAATTATTCACTTTAGTCATTATCAGTGTCACATCATGATGTTTCCTTCCTCAATACCTAACATCATGAACAAAAATAGTTAAAAAAACCCTGCAAAACAAAAAAACTGTCACATCCACACATACACAAATTCAATACCAGCAACCAAAAAATTGAAGATGATCGGCTTCTTGTTAAAAATGTAAAAATTGGGACTGGCCCGGTGGCGCAGTGGTTGAGTTCACGCACTCTGCTTCAGCAGCTCGGGGTTCGCAGGATCAGATCCCAGGCGTGGACATACGCACTGCTCATTAAGCCATGTTATGGCAGCATCACACATACAAATTAGAGGAAGATGGGCACGGATGTCAGCCCAGGGCCAATCTTCCTCAGCAAAAAGAGGAGGATTGGCAATGGATGTTAGCTCAGAGCCAGTCTTCCTCACACACACACACAAAAGTCTAAAAATTAACAAGAAGGTAAAGATGATTCTTAGGTAATTTGACAGATATCCTTTTTTTTTTTTTCCTGAGGAAGATTCTCCCTGAGCTAACATGAGTTGTCAATGTTCCTCTTTTTGCTGAGGAAGATTCACCCTGAGTTAACATCTGTGCCAATGTTCCTCTATTTTGTATGTGGGTCACCACTACAGCATGGCTGCTGACAAGTGGTGTAGGTCCACGCCTGGGAACTGAACCTGGGCCACTGAAGTGGAACAAGCCAAACTTAATCACTAGGCCACAGGGCTGGCCCTGACAGATTTCTTATTTTCCCTCCTAATTCTCCAACACAAACACATTGTCACTCCTACAAGCTTTTCTCTGAAAATAAAAAAAAGTAAAATCATCAAATTCTTGTGACATCTCACTAGTACTGTAAACTGCATTCCATTTTGGCAAGTCAGATTGAGGGAGCGTGGAGGTAATCGAGTTGAAATCTTGGGAAAATCCTTGAGTGTAGAAAAGTAGTTAGGATGCAGAAGTAACATACAGTGTGGAAGAAAGACTGAGAATCCAGCATGGAAGAATATATAACCCAAACAAGAAAAGAAGAGATAGTTATGTAAAATAACATACTCACGACCTAGAAATCAACCACACAAAGGCACAAAGATAATAATAATAAGATAGAGGTGGAAGAGGTGATTGATGAGGAAAAGAAAAACATTGATCACCAAAATAACTTACTCTGGGTATATACAAAAATATTGTTAAAATTTCAAAACTACAGCTTACACTTTTATTAACAGAATATTGCAGTTTATTTGGACACAATTATGAGTTATGTGTTTACAATTACAACTGTACTTCTTCATAGAAACCTTACTTTATTGTTTTTACCATGATGTCCTTCACCAAAATTTGTATTTTTTATTATTACTGAGACAATCAATAATTTTATCTTCAATGTTGAACTTTTTAAATGACTCTACATTAGCATTGTCAAATAGAGCATTAGGAACTTTAGAAAACTGTACTTGGATTCTTTGGACTGGATGAAGAAATCAAACCATTACGGAAATTAATTCATTTTCTATTTGAAGGATTTGACAGTACTGACATAAAACTGGCTTTATCTAATCCCTAGTGAAGTTTTTCTTCTGCTAATGGAAGGACATATCACCAGCTATTGCTTTATTCTGAAATATTCTGAAATATTCTGAAAATGATTCAGAATAGTTATTTGACCTAAATGAAAATGTATGCATCAGAGTGATATATTAACACATCTTTTGCAACTGGTAATGATGAACAATCATCTTTGGAAGCAATCATCTTAAAATTTCTGCTATATTTTGAAGTAGATAATCATACTTCTTCAGCAAAGTTGTCTCTTACTTTTCTTGTGGTCAGTGATATCCCTGATCCCCATGGTGGATTGTAAATGTCATCAAATTGTTGTACAAGTTACATATTCACCATCAACTTGCTTTAGTAATAGAAATTCACTATTCACTTTTTTCTTTTATTAAATATGAGCTTCTAACTTGAGCTCATTGTTCCTAAAAAGATTTTTTTTTGGCAAAGTTTAAAGAAGAAAGATGCTCCCAAACAATAAAATAAATAGTTGTAGATTTAAACAATACAATATGTGGCCACGTCACTGTAGCAAGAGCATGAATATTATTTTTCATATGCTGTGTGGCAGCCTCAATTTCATGCACATATGTCATCTCCACCTAATCGGTAATTCTCAAATTTCCCACTAACTCCACCTACTGGTAGCTTGGTGTATATTATTGCATCTTGCAGGCTGGGAGAAAGAACCGGCTAGGTTAGAATAGCAAATGAGACTCCACCAAGATTTCAACGTCTGAGCTATCCACTGCTTGTATCTGCACGTAATTTGTTTTTCGGTAATCCTTCTGCATACACTCTTTGAAAGAAAAGTGATAGTTCTATTTATTTTGTTCAGAAAGGATGAGCAAAGGAAGGATAAGATACGGTTTGCCTTCTTTCAGATTTCACATTCATTATGTAAAAACTGTACATGCATCTTATACTCCAATAAAGGAAACCATGGCAAAAGCAAAATGGAGGTCTCCTAAACAAGTCATCATTTACATTAATTCAATTATTATTGATTATAAATAAAAAATGAAAAATCTGAGACAATTACCAAATGGGACTAGATGCTAAGACAAACAGAATAAACCAAGACATGGTTACCCTGTGGGTAAGAATTTAGGTCATCTGTGCCTTTAAGAACATTGTCCTTGACTTAATGGATAAAAAGTTTGGGGCATAACTGCTGATTCAAGAGTTATCAGCTGCCTGGATATTAGTTAAATCCTGTAACAAGAGAATATTTACATTGGTTTTGAGTTTTCTTTTTTTGTTTTTTTTTCTCCCAAACAAGTGCTATCAACCAAACATCTGAAAAATAGGAGCAAGTTTGGACTTTGTCAAACTTATGGAACTGATTATATGGAAAATATTGGGCCTACTTGCTAACAGATGTCGGAATGTGTTAAATATTTCATTTAGAGACTTGATTTCTTATCTGGCAGTAAAGCCTGTGGAACTGGGGCTATCACCAAATCTAACTAGCGTCTAACTTCTCACTGTATATCCTCACTCCAACTTCTGAAATATTTTTGGATATATGTTATGAGTAATCATCCTTCAAAATTATGTGATGAAGCCAATTTAATATCCTTTACAATTTGTAATTATTTTATATAAAATATTGACGTTTCTAACTCCCTACAGAACAAAAGGCCACAGTTATTAGTTTGCTTGTAATCTTGAAAATGTGTTTCTAGGTTGTGTCATATAAAGGTTTTAATGAATGGAGTAAGCATAAAAGATGAAATAATTTCTTCCAAACCAAAAAGGACATTGGACAATTTTACTTTTTAAAGTAAATTTTTTTAATGATAAATACAAGATACAGAAATATCGAGCCAGATATTTAGAAGCCGTTTTGAAGACACAGAGTAAACAAACAATCTTAAAGTAAATATATAGATGTCATATAACATATTTTTATTTAAACTTATAACATTTTTCCACTTTGTGAAACTTGAAACAAATGCACTAGGCGAAATAACTAGAAGATATAGGAAGAAAGAAATATACTTCAATAGTGCATGTCTGTATAACTACAAGGAAGCAGTTTTGGCATCTTTCTTCAATGAATACATTTTCTAGTTACTGGAATTCAGATTATTCCTATTCCATAGTAGATAACAGTAGAAGTCAAATTTGTAAGATAATGATAGGACAGGAGATCCATAAATAGTATGGATCTTGATATACTAAGTATTATATTTCTAGATATAGTAGGTATTGTGTTCAAACACACAATTAGTAGAAGCCAGATCTACAGGCTGGTTGGAAAGCAGACTGGCAGCTTCTAGAAGAGAAGTAGGTTGGATGGTAAAAGCTGGATCTACAACTTAGAGATGAGAAAGCATTGGGGTGACAACCCAGTGATTGGAAACCACTGGATCCAAAGCCCAGAGATGGGGAGCTCCAACCAAAAGATTGAAGGCCTCTGGAACCAAAGCCCAGAAACCCAGAGTATGTCGTCTGGCAGGGACTGCAGAGTGTGGAGGTCCTTGGGTGGTAGTAGGATGTCTGGCAGGGGCTGGATAGCACACAGGACGTCTGGTATCTGGTGGGCTCACAGTAGTTCTCCTGACAGCCACTGTACAGAGAGGATCCCAGCTGGTAGGTGCTTGGAGAGCGGAGGTCAGTGCAGTAGACCAGGTTGCTGGGGAAGGAAGAGCCACGGGAGATGCCTGGGTACTGCAGGTAGCCCCCAAAGGAGCGGGAGAAGTTTCCAGAGCAGCAGTTGTAGGACATGCTGACAGGCGATGTGACTTACAATAAGAAGATTCTGAGTTTGAATGTTACTTCTTGGACTAGGGTGTGTCATCCAAATGGCACATAAAAATAGGTTACCTTCTGCTTTTAACTGAATTGAAGGGATCATCAGAGTCATACACATGTAGTTTTTGTGGTTTTACAACTGGAAAGTGCAGTAATGTTTGTGCTTGGAATTCAGGTAACAGAGTTGAATCTTCAAAGCTATTAGTCATCTTCTACCAAGGTCACCCAGCAGATCACTCAGAGAACTGCTTTAGAGGTAGATAGTGTCTGGGCTGAGGGAAGCTAGCCTAATTAAAAATAATTGATACTCCTTTCACAGTCTGTCTCAAAACTGTTGCCATCTGGATAGCAAAGTTGCTAACTAAATGATCTGTTCATAGTCATTTCTTTTAAACAAAAACACACATTGATTGTCGCCAGGAAATGGCAAGTTTACTTAACGAATAGTGTCATAAGGAAGCAGCAAAGGTAATATGCAAGATGTATGAGGATTTTTTTAATGGGCTCTCAATTTGAATGGCTTTAGTGAAATATTAACTGAGAGATTCCTTTATTTCTCATGCTCCTGCTGAAAACTATATGCAGACTAATAAAAGTCAATCTTAGCTTTTCTTTCTTGTGTATGTGTTTAATATGGTATGAGTTAAATGTTATAAATTGCTTTATGCTATTTTGGAAAATTAGAGGTTATTCATCTAAGATGCTGAAAAAAGCATTAAAAATAAGAACAAAACATGTGGCAAAAATGCCCAGTGTATTTCTATCTCTAATCAGAGGCAGTGTTTACCACTAAAAGGATTCCCCAGAATCTGGAAAATGTTCTTGTTCTAAAGAAAGTTTATAAGGTAATTGCCTTGAAGTATTGGACCAAAGAAGCCATCTTGAGGAGATTCTTCCTTTGCCTTAGAAAACAACATACGTCACTTTGACTTAAATTGTTTTCAGGTGTTTCTGAGAAGTATTACCAAATTTCTAAAATAATGGTCATATTTTTTCTTGTTGTATGACTTGTATTCCACCTCTATATAGTAGGGCAATGAAGATTGATACCTTGAAGAAGAGGAGAGATTGAGAAGGTTTATCTTGCTGTGGCTTTTGTGCTGTTGATTTGTTTGTTTCACAGAAAAGCATTTCCCTTCCACTTCTGAATAAAAGTGTGTGGGTGCAAAAACCTCCACTTTGTTGAGAAAAGAATATGCAAAATTACTTAATATCTGATCTCATAGACTATTCCACAGAATAGATTATATAAGAGTGGATGACATTGAAGAAAGCTAGCAAATTTAATTGAGGTGAGTTAAATATTTACATGGATGTTTTGATGTTCAATATTTTATTGACAAAAAACAGGAAGGTTTGCAATCTACTAGAATGCTTTTTGCATTCATAATTAGGAAGGCTAATACATAAGAATTTTTTATTTTAGAAACAGGACAAACTATGTTGCCTAATAAGTGAAACATGATTGAAGACCAAATTAGTCTACTCAAACTGTTCAGGCTCAAAAAGTCTACAATTTGGAAGGGAGTTTAGCAATTATCTTCAGTCCTCTACCAGATCAGAATCCCATTTATTACATCCTGATTAGATATTCCCAGTGCCATAAGATGAAAATCTCATTACCTACCAAAGTACCTTGTTTTAGATTTTTAGCTGAATCTTCCCTTAAAATTTCCACCTAGCAATCTTAGTTCTTCAAGGAATGAGTCTCAGCTCATTTCCATTGGATAACAGATCAGTTTTTGAAGATGGATGTCTTAAGAGGTTTTCCCATTCCCACAGGGTTATTTTAAGCCATTTACTGTACCAAAGCACTACTCAATTTACATTTAGCAATGAATGATGAATTTTATGGAAGAGTCCAGAAAAACACTTATGACACTAGTCCTCTAGGCAGAATATGTATGTCACTTGATACATGTACCACATCAGAGGTCCTAAAGGCATTCATTCTCTATTTCACATTATCATCCGTTTTGATACCCACCTCATTTCAATTTATGAAGGTCATTTGTAACTGGATTCTTCAAATACTTGATCCTTCTGTGAGGTCTACACGGGGAACACACTTTCATAATTTCTTGATTTTCTTTACCTTCTATATAAAAATCCCACCCTATGAGAGAAAACTAAGGGGAAAAAGGACCATTTTTTAAATGTATAGTGTTTATTATTTTGTTCTCAAAAACATCAACACCATCAAAAAATTACTTAAACTTTATAGGGATGAAGAATTTTTTTTTTAAGACTATTTTTTTTTTTTTTTTTTTGCTGGGAAAGATTCGCCCTGAGCAAATCTGTTGCCAATCTTCCTCTCTTTTTAATTTTTTCCTCCCTGAAGCCCCAGTACATAGTTGTATTTTCTAGTTGTCAGTCCTTCTAGTTCTTCTATGTGAGCCGCTTCCACAGCATGACTACTGACAGACGAGTGGTGTGGTTCTGCACCCAGAACCAAACCCAGGCTGCCGAAGCAGTGCACACCAAACTTTAACCACTAGGCCACAAGGGCTGACTTGGGATGAAGAATTTTTGATAATCAAATTTATTGATGACTTATATCAAGAAGCAAGTCAACTTCAGAGCAAAGATTCCTTGACTTAAGTATTTTTACAATGTAATCTTTAAAGCATTCCTGTAAATATTGGACTTTCCATTTTTAAATCAAAAACTCACGCACACATGAGTGGCTTGGCTACTTGTGCTATAAGAAACAAAAATCCAAATGTGTTAGACACTCATTTGGCATTTCTACCAATTAAGGGTTGTTAGTGGGTTATTTTTTCTCTAAGGTCCATAAGATTTGGGAGATGGAACAGATATTGAGGAATTTTTTCTTTTTCTGTTCTCAATTGGGTTCCTAAACTTGGAGTAAAATAAATGTCCCCTCCAGACTACAAAGTCTTTTTTAGAGCTCTAAACACAACAAAATTCTCACTGTGTTACCCATTTGATACAATAACTGAAGATTAGGATGAATAAAACACCAATCTTACAGGTACAATAATGGCACAATTACATTCATCTACCCAAGCTAGATGAATGAGAAAGGACATTTTTGCTTCATGAGCAATTGCTTTGAAAAACTAATGAAATTCTTTCATTTAAAAGTTTGTGTTCATAAAAAAGATCTTTGAAGGTTAATGTATTTCATTCTAACTGGAGCCCAATTAAGCATTCTTATTAAAATAGGCATATGCTATTACACTCATCACTGGAGTGAAGAAGTGTCCAGTATAGAAGGGATCATTCACACTCACAAACTCCTCTCAGCAACTCAGCTGAACTCAGAATTCCTGACAATGTGTCCTACAACTGCAGCTCTGGAAACTTCTCTCGCTTGCTTGGAGGTTACCTGAGGTACCCGGGTCCTACCTTTGATTCTTTCTCCCCCAACAATATAGTCTACTCTCCCAACACTTGCCAACTTGGCTCCTCTCTCTATGATGGCTGTCAGAACTTCTGTGAGCCCACCAGCTGCCAGACATCCTGTGTTGTGGCCAGATCCCACCAGACATCTTGCTTCCCCCCAAAGAATTTCATCTTCTACAGTCCCTGCCACAGAAATTACACTGGATCCCTAGGATTTGGAAACATTGGCCTTCGAACTTTTGGTTACAGAAGCACTGGCTTCCTGTTTCTGGGCTGTGGGTCCAGCTTCTGCCACCCAACTTACTTTCCTCCCGGGAGCTGCCAGTCAACTTATTACCAACCAGCCTTTGGCTCTCGCTTTTTTGGTTCAACTTACTGAATATCCGCCATTATCTTATGGATATGTCTGCACTTTATGAAGCTTTAACACTCAGCCTGGGCAATATCTGTGATTACTAATCATCTGCATCATCAGGACTTGCCATCACAATCCTCTTGGAAGCACATGATTTACTGTGGACAAAGTAACCTTGGCCTGTGATTTTTTTCTAAATCTGACATACAAGATATGTCTTGAATTTTCATTCTTATGCTAATGCTCAGAATCACTTCTGTTACTATGTTTCTAAGATTCTTCTCTTATTATTCTCCTAAGAATCTTTCACTTAAGTGTATTTCAAATAGATATGGCATTTAGAATAAACTTATTTCTGTACTATGAATTTTGTCATACCATTTTCATATGGTACCTTTAGTGAATGTCTCCAGTACTTTCAACTGTCTTCAGTAGGTAAACATTTTTTTGTTGTCTTCATTTCACATGTTTCATTAATATTTTGCTGGATAGACAACAGGAAGTTTAGAGGAGAATTGAAATATATGGCGTATCTCATGTCTCGAGAGATTTGTATCCCCTCATAGGTGCATTTGTTCATCTAATTGCTTCAGAAAATTTTGGTTTTAGTTAGGCCTTCATTGAAAGAATATTTATTGAGTTCTGATTATATACCAGGCATTGAGCTGAGCAAAGACATAAATTCCTTTCCTTTCAGGAGTTTACACACATAAAATTCAAACTCTTCATCATGTAGCAAGTGCAATAATGGGGATAAAATCATAAGAGTCAATGGGGACACAAAGAAAGACTTCAAAAGGAGTCTGAGGAAATCACATAAAACTCATTATTGAAAATAGAAAGAGCAAGTTACCACTTCATTTAAAAAATAAATCTTCCTAATCTAACGTGTTAAGTTTTAGTCCTTTCAGAAAGAGCTGCCAAATGGGATTTGACATGAAAGAGATTAGTTGGGGAAAATACCTGTTAGAGAAAATGAGGTAGCTGGAGAATCTGGGAGACCCATCAGACCACGATGCAGGTCTGATCTCAGGGAAGGAGAGAGGGAAGGAAAGGAGGATTGGGTTAGAAGAATCTTCTTCGGGGCAGTTCTAATAAGGTCTTGGAAAGTCACCCACTAAAGGAGTTCCATGTATCACAGAGATGGGCCTGCCTTAATGTTCCTGCCAAGCTCAGGCTCTGGCCAAGAACAGGGAACAGCATGACCTTGGCATAAATGTGGTGGTAGATTTAGACACTAGCAGCTGGAGGTGTCAGTCCCTCCCTACCCTGGGAAATATGAGACCTACATG